GGTGGGGCTGCCCCGAGGGAGCTGGGTGTTACCGGCCCGGTGCTCGGGCAGCGGGCTCCGCGCCTCAGCCTCCCCTCCCAGGGCGACGAGCGCCCCGCCGCCCGGTAGCCACCCGCCGGGCGAGGGGAGGTGAGGGCAGGGCGACCTCCGCCCGCCGCCTCCGGCCGAGGGCAGGGAGGGCCAGGGCTCTGCCAGCCGCCCGGTCAAGGACGGTCCTCGCCGGTATAACGGCGCTGACCGGGCTGCGGGGCGAGCGGAGCTGCTGCCCCGGGAGGGCGACACCCGGCTGCCCCAGGATTCCGTTAAACTGCCGGGCGGCGCGAGGCAACGGCTCCCCAACGGCCGCTTCCCGGCCCGGCCGGCCCGAAGGAAGCGCCCCGGGCCGGCCGAGGGGGAGCCCCGCGGGCGGTTGGAGATGCTGAGGCCCCTCCCCGCTTCCCGAGGTAAACTCCGGTGGACTTGGACCTCCCCGCCCGCCTCTCGGCGGCGGCTGGCGCCCAGGGCAGAGCGAGTTCGGGGCGAAAACGAAATACGTGGGGCGGGGGCTTCCAGCGCTGCCCTCGGCCCCGCTCCGTTCCGAGCCCGCCCTTGGGCTTCCTTTGGCCGGGCGTTCTCCCGGCGGCCGCCCCGCTGAGGGACGCCGTGGTGCGGCCCGCTGAGGCGCCGGGACGGGCGGCTGCGGCCGGGCTGGCGTGTCTCTCTCTTTCCCTGCGTTCCCTTTAGGTAACCGCTGTGCCGGAGCTCCTGTGTGCGCGCCTGGTAATGAGAGGCAGGGAGGCAGCCTGGGAAGCGCTGGCTCCGCCAGTGGGCGTTTTCTGGCGGCCGGGGCTGGTACTGGAAGCGGCACTGCAGTGATTTTATCTGCTTCTTTGCAGACGCGCACGCACGTACGGGGCAATATTTGCCTCGCTCGAAGAAAAATACAGGTTGTTGCCGTTTTCTTGCTTTGAATGCGAGGTGGGAGCATGAGGAAAAGCGGACTTTAAAAGGGGATCGGAACCGCTTGGCGGTCAGTAGCGCCCTGTCCCCTCTGGCCTAAAGGGGGAACGGAAATGTGAGGATTTTATGAGGGCGGGGTGCCGAGGAAATACTGCCCGGGGGTTGCTGGAGGGGAACGAAGGACCGAACCGCGGTTGCCCCTCGTTTGGCTCCGTCCTTTTTCGGCTTCCCCTTTCGCTTTACTCTAGTATCTCTCCTAGACGTCCTGCCTTAAACTACCGCGAAAGGGAGGGAAGAGCGGAAGCATGTCCAACCCGGAGAAGCGGATCTTATCCCGCCCCTCGGCCCCCCTGGCTGCAGCACCCGGGGAAAAGCCCGGCTCCGGCAGCCGCCCGCTCCACTCCCATGGCCAGAGCGGCGGAGGTGGAGGCAGCGGCGGGTCTCCTCCTCCTCCCCCCGCTCCTGGAGGCGGCTCGGCTGCCTGCAGCTCCCTCTCTCTCCTCCTAACAACCACCAGCAGCAGCAGGAGCCGCGCTGCAGGGACAGCCTCCTCCGCCGCCTCCGCCAGCATCGTCCCCAGAGCGGCAGCGGCTCCTTTCCTCGCTCCAATCCCCTCCTTTTCCTCCGCTTCTCCATCTTCTTTTTACTTCTTGCCGCCGCCTCCTCGTTTCCCCTCCTCGTCTTCCTTTAACCTCACAAGTCTCCAAGGGAGGGAAGGAGGAGGAGAGGCAGCGAGAGCGGCAGGAGGAGGAGGAGGAAGAGATGTTGGCGGAGCAGCAGCAGCAGCTCACTTGATCGCCCATCCAGGCGGCAGCGGCAGGAGGAGACTCTTCTGTTCTTCCTCCATCCAGGGCTTGCTGCTCCGTTCCGCAGCCGGCGGCCCCCGGCAGCACCACTCCCGGCTCCTCCTCTCCCCAGCCGCCTCTCGCCCGTGGTCCTGCAATTCCCTCGGTGCTGCAGCAGCAGCAGCAGCCCGCGGCGACGGGATCCGAGGAGGCGACGGCCCCGGCCCCGGCGGGAGCAGGACTCCTAGGCGGCAGCAGCGGCAGAGAGGCGCCTTCTTCTCCTTCTCGTCTCCCCTGCTCCTAGGGCCAGACATGGAAGATGGATCTAATTCTGCAAGCTGCTTTAGGAGGTTTACGGACTGTTTCTTTAACACAAGTAGGTACCGGAGCGCTGTGCCCGGCGGGTCGCGCGTGTCCCGGGGGGGGAGGCGAAGGGCTGTGTCCGAGGCTGGGTGCATGCCTTGAGGAAGGGGCATTTCTTTGTGAGTGGGGGGGAAGCGAAGACACAAAGGGGCCGTATACGTGGGGCGTGCGTGGACGCATGGAGGAGCGGCCGGGTGTGTATTGAGGATGCACGGACAAAGGGGATGCTCGATGCAACTGAGTGCTCTTTGTGGGAGCTGGCTGTTCACGCCTCGGGGATTTCGGCATCGTTCCGGGATCAGACAACTCTACGTGTATGTGTGTCAGCCTTTTATTTACTGAATGCTTAATTTGCTCAGGAATGATACGTAGGGAAATGGAGACTTTCCCCCCTACTTACTCGAAGTAGCGATAAGGAAGCATTATGGTATCGGAAAGGCGGCGGAGGACCGAAGAGAGTGAAACGTATCGCTTCTTTCTGCATCCCCTGTCAGATCCGCCACAGGCGGGCCAATTCCGTGCCTCTGATCCCTCTTTGATAGTGGGTACCTCCTTCCTTTCCCTCGCCGTGGCTCGTTGCAAGGCGGGCGAGAAGCCGGAGAGGAAACATGTGCTCCTTGCTGTGGGGGGCTGGCGGGGAGGGCGGAATAGAGAGGGCATTGAAGCGCTTCGCAGCGAGCCTCCGCCGCTGCCGGCGAAACCTTGGCCGGCTCCCCCCGAGCCCAAACGCGGGGGGAAGGCGCGGGGCCGCGCTCGCCCCGTGTCGGGAGGCGGGAGGGAGGCGAGAGCAGCCGCTCGGCCTCCCGGTACGGGGCTCGGTCGGTGCCCGCCCCGCGCTGGACGGGGGATCCCGGCGGCAGCGGGGGCCGCCGGCCGGCCCCATCGGCTGAGGCGGCTGGTGAGAGGGGGGTTCCGCGGGGCAGAAACTCCCCGCTGGCGGGGACGCGGCCCGGCTCCCCCTCCGGTGTCTCGCCCCGAGCCTGCCGCCGCCTTCCCCTCACCGAGGCGTTTCACCGACAGACCGCGCCCCGCCGGGTGGGCGCCCCTGCGGCTGCCGCGTCCTCGGAGCGGCCGGGGCTCCGGGCTGAAGCCGCCCGGGGTCGGGTTGCCCCTGCCCTCCCGCCGGCCCTCAGCTCCAGCGCCCCGCCGGGAGATGTGCTGGGGTCCGGTTCGGGCATGGGATTAATGCATTTCCAAGCGGAGCGTGTGGCAGGGTTGAAATAAATCTTTTTTTTTTTTCTATTTTTTTTTTATTTATTTTTTCCAGAAACTTTCTTTTTTTGGTCGCCTAATGTTTTGATGCCTAGGGTGATTGTGATCACCTGTGGTTATTTGTGTTAGGGTGTGTGTTTCTTTTTATTCTTCTTTTTGTGTCAATTTCTTGAAGCATAGATTTATGCCTTGAAGTCTCCCTAAACTTGTGCTTTAATCTGTTAGCATGCTAACATAAAAGGTGGCTTTTTGGATACAGGTGAATAGTACATAGTTCACACATGTATGTAATTTGGGGATGTGTCAGAAGATCTATAGAGATGTCAGCTGAAAGCTTATCATTTGCCTTATTGTCTTGCAGCTGTCTTTAGCACAATAGTCCGCAAGTGTGGTAGTACTTGTTCAGTTCTACGGTAGAGGTGAATAAAAATCTGCTGCATTGTCTTTTTCAAACTTTATTCAATAGTCGATTGTGGTAAAGAGCTACGTACTTGTTTAGTTTTGAGGCCTGAAGGGAAGCTCTTCCAGTTCTTATTTTCTCTGTGTTTAAGGGGAGTAGAATACTGCCGTACATGTGGTACAACTCTGACATCTTAAAATAAGTGGTCTTGGGAGCAAGGGACCGAGCCAGAGAATGTGTGTCATGTAGGGCAACTGCACGACACACATGGTTTATACTAGACCAAGAAAAAGATAACACAGAAAACATCTCTCTGTTCAAAACTCCATTTAAAAAGCAGCGGTGACTTCAACTTAAGCTATTTTATGACCACTTGAACGCAAGAAACCTGGTCATCTTTGACTGACTATGACCTCTGACTGAAGATTTTCCTGCTGGCAGGAAAGGAGCAGAGCAGTTCTTTCCCCTGCGAGTTTACTGACGTCTAAGAAGACATGCAGCCTCCCTTTCTGTGGAGACACTGTCTTTGACTATGACCTCTGACTGAAGATTTTCCTGCTGGCAGGAAAGGAGCAGAGCAGTTCTTTCCCCTGCGAGTTTACTGACGTCTAAGAAGACATGCAGCCTCCCTTTCTGTGGAGACACTTTTCTGTGTTCTGCAGCCTACTCTCATGAAACTTTCAAGAACTTAAATGTATGATATCTCTACTCCTCTTGAATGTTATTGAAACTGGCGAATGGGCTCAAAAGGTATTAGTGAGGTCAGCTGGGCAGACGTCCACATGCGTATATACATATGCATACGCTTCCCTCCCTCACTGAGCGATTGCATAAGTCTGATTTCCTTAGGAAACCAGGCTGAAAAAAGGAGTGGAGGGAAGTCAAACAAGATACTATTCAGTTCCAGTGCAGCTACTGCAAAGAGCACTTGTCCAACTGTTTGGAGTACTGTGTACAGTCCTGGTTACAGTGTGGCCGGAAGGCTATTATTGTTTTGAAGAGGATGAGGTCATGTAGAATAATGAAGATAATGTGCTGCATCTCATAGCTTTTGTTTCCTGAATTGCGTTTTCGATTCTAAATCATACATAACATACATAAATACACTGTTTGACTTTAAAGACAAAAAAGTCTAAACATTTTTACAGGGAAACTGAGGAGTTCTGCAGGGAAGAGAATTGAGATGAGCTTTTTGGAAGGGAGATGTAAAAAATGAGCTATTAGAATACTCAAGACTGGAAAACAATGAAATCGCCAGAGATGTATTCTTCTTTCTTCTCTGAGCTCTTTCAACTTGCATGCTCTGTGGTCAGAATTTTGTTAGAAGGTTCTTGATATTATTAAAATTTTAAGTTCTGCAATACTGTTTGTGCTGCATCCAGCTATTTTTAAGATTCCTAGTAAAGCACTGAATGGGATTGCAGAAGCTTATATCATAGAATCATAGAATGGTTTGGGTTGGAAGGGACCTTAAAAGATTATCTAGTTCCAACCCCTCTGCCATGGGCAGGGACACTTCTCACTAGAACAGGTTGCTCAAAGCCCCATCCAGCCTGGCCTTGAACACTTCCAGGGGTGGGTCATCCACAACTTCTCGGGGCAACCAGTTCCAGTCTCTCATCACCCTCACAGTAAAGAATTTCTTTCTGATATGTAATGTAAATCTGCCGTCTTCCAGTTTGATCCCATTGCCCCGTGTTCTATCGCTACATTTCCTGATAAAGAGTCCTTGCGCGTCATTCCTGTAGGCTCCCCCAATAACTTGAAAGCTGTTATAATGCCGCCTCGGAGCCTTCTCTTCTCCAGACTGAAGAACCGCAACTCTGTTGGACTGTATTCATAGGAGAGGTGCTCCAGCCCTCTGTGTCCTTCTTATGTTGGGGACCTCAGAGCTGGATGCAATACTTCAGGTAAGGTCAGTCTCACCCTCTCCAGGGGTGAGAGCAGAGCGGGAGCATCACCTCCCTCAACCTGTTGGCCTTGCTTCTTTTGATGCAGCCCAGGTTATGGTTGGCTTTCTGGGCTGCAAGCGCACGTTGTCTGCCCAGCTGGTATGTGTGCTTGGTGTTGCCCTGACCCACTTGGCCTTGTTCAACTTCATTAGCTTTGCCAGGGCTCACCTCTCAAGCTTGTCCAGGTCCCTCTGGATGGCATCCCCTCCAGTGTGTTGATTGCATCATGCATCTTGGTGTTGTTGGCAAACTTGCTGAGGATGTACTTAATTTCATTGTCCATGTCGCTGACCAAGATATTAAACAGCGCTGGTCCCAGTACCAACTGCTAAGGAACTCATTGCTGGTTTCTACTTGGACATTGAGCCATTGACCGCAACTCTTGGAGTGCAACATCCAGCCAATTTCTTATCCACTGAGTGGTCCATGCATCAAATATGTCTCCAATTTAGAGACAAGGTTATCATATGGGACAGTGTCAAATCCTTTGCAGGGGTCCAAGTAGATGATGTCAGTTGCTCTTCCATTATCTGCTAAGGCTCTAACCTCGTTGTAGAAGACCACCAAATTGTCAGGCACAATTTGCCTTTAGTGAAACCCTGCTGGTTGTCACTGATCACCTCCTTATTTTCCATGTTCCTCAGCATAGTTTTCAGGGGGCTTCATGGTATTGTCAGGCACAGAAGTGAGACCTGTAGTTCCCCAGGTCTTCCTTTTTAATGTTTTTGAAAACGGGCATTGTGTTCCCCTTTTCCAGTTTGTGGGGACTTCACTGGACTGCCACACCTTCCCATATATGATGGATAGTAGCTTAGCAACTTCATCTGCCTGTTCCCTCCTGTTCCCTTAGGAGCTGCGGATGCATCTCATCAGATCCCATGGATTTGTGTACCTTCAGGTTCCTTAGATGGTCTCGAACCTGATCTGAACTTTGTATGGTGTGTGCTGTTTTTCTTAACTGTTTGAAATCTGTAACGTGGTGCATAACACAGTGTTTTGAGAAACTTTTAGTATTTAACATGCTGGATCAATTCTCCGGTGGAGTTCTACCATTTTTAGGATAATGCAAGCTGCCAGGTGTTTCAGGTGTCTGTGAAATGCCTTACTTTCAGGGGACCATCCTGAGTTTCTTCTACACTCAAGGTCTCTCGAGCTGCACGTGTAGCATATTTAATCTGTGACCAGTGAGTCTACTCACAGTATAGGGGCTTTCTGCTTGTTTGAGATTTATCGGTATATTGGTATTTTATACGGTTACCTTTTATCTGCCTTTTTTTTTTTTCCTTTTTTTTTTTTTTGGTGGTGCAGCAAGTTTATCCTGCACATTTGTGTGATGGATGCTAAGACTTTCCAATTGAATAGTACTCTGAGAAAGAGTAGATGTAGTAAGATGTGTAGTTGTAGAAAAAAATAGCAAATAATGTTTCAATAAAGTTAAAAGTATTCCTG